TGGGAAAAAATGGGAAAAACACGGTGTAAAATGGGTTAAAAATGGGTGAAAATGGGTTAAAAATGGACACGGCCCCGTCAGCCCCACGCCCGAGGAGCCGCGCCCCGTCGTGTACTGGCCTGGGGTTGGGGAGAAATGGGGAAAATGGGAATAAAAATGGGAAAATGGATGAAAATGTACAAAAAATGGGCATAAGATGGGGGAAAATGGGTAAAAATGAGCATAAAATGAGTAAAAATGGGCATAGAATGTGGAAACAGATACAAAATGGGGGGAAAAGGGGGAAAGTGGACATAAAATGGGCCTAAAACTGGCATAAAATGGGAAAAGGAGGAGGAAGAGAACGGAAAGGAGGAAGATGATGGTGATGATGGTGATGAAGAAGAGGAGGAGGAAGAAGGAAAGGAGGAAGAAAAGGAAAAGAGGAAGAAAAGGAAAGGTGGAAGAAGATGATGCTGATGATGAAGATGAGGAGAAGGAGGAAGATGATGGAGATGAGGAGGAGGAGGAGGAGGAGGAAGGCAAGGAGGAAGATGATGGTGAGGAGGAAGAGGAGGAGGAGGAGGAGGAGGAGGAGAAGGAAAGGAGGAAGATGATGGAGATGAGGAGGAAAGGAGGAAGATGATGGTGAGGAGGAGGAGGAGGAGGAGGAGAAGGAAGGCAAGGAGGAAGATGATGGTGAGGAGGAGGAGGAGGAGGAGGAGAAGGAAGGCAAGGAGGAAGATGATGGTGAGGAGGAGGAGGAGGAGGAAGAGGAGAAGGAAAGGAGGAAGATGATGGAGATGAGGAGGAAAGGAGGAAGATGATGGTGAGGAGGAGGAGGAGGAGGAGGAAGGCAAGGAGGAAGATGATGGAGGAGGAGGAGGAAGATGATGGAGGAGGAGGAGGAGGAGGAGGAGGAAGGCAAGGAGGAAGATGATTGAGATGAGGAGGAAAGGAGGAAGATGATGGTGAGGAGGAGGAGGAGGAGGAGGAGAAAGATGATGGAGGAGGAGAAGGAGGAAGGCAAGGAGGAAGATGATGATGGTGAGGAGGAAGGCAAGGAGGAAGATGATGGAGGAGGAAGGCAAGGAGGAGGAGGATGGTGAGGAGGAGGAGGAGGAGGAGGAAGGCAAGGAGGAAGATGATGGTGAGGAGGAGGAAGGCAAGGAGGAGGAGGATGGTGAGGAGGAGGAGGAGAAGGAGGAAGGCAAGGAGGAAGAAGATGATGGTGAGGAGGATGATGATGGTGAGGAGGAGGAGGATGGTGAGGAGGAAGGCACGCACTGCGCGGCGCCAGGCGGTCGATGTAGGTCAGCAGCTGCGACTTGGCCACGCCC